GCAACGTTCTTAATCATAAAAATACCAGAATTTAGATATATAGAAATTCTTACGTTATAGCACAGAGAGTCAGCCAGAAACGCTTTACTATTAACATACATGTTATTAACAAACAGCATCCCTTTTTTTATTATTATTATTATTATTATCATCCCCAATCTTATTGTGTCATTTAACAAAAGTATTAACAGTATATGCAAGATATAAAATTCTTTAGAAGTAAGAATTCTTAAGAATTCTTTCTTTCAGTTTATTTATTGAGTCCATTCAGATTTTGTTTTTAGCTTTGATTTTTTAACACAGCTCAATAAATGAATTTCGTGCGTCTAAATACTTTGTATAAAAGTGTGTTATGCCCAAGACATAATTCATTTAAACTTGTTTAATTTGATATCCAGTTGCATTTTTTTAACTTGTAGTAATAGCTAATTAAGTATTTAACATAAATTAGAATTTCATTGTTTAGTCTAATTTGTGATCTTGCGAGGCTAGAATTGCGATATCATCGGCTTGTGGTTTTATTTGTATAGATGTGACTTTATTTGTGTAGCTAGAGTTTAGAACACCATCTTGAATCTTTAACTTAGATTGTAACAATAAATAAAAATTTTGTAGGAAATGGAATTTTATTAAAACAAGCCATACGTGATCAAAAGATTAATGTTTATAAACACAGCAGAGCATATCTTTTGTTCTTCCAAACAATTTTTTATTTCATGTATGTGCATCATGTTTAATGCACTTATTTAGTTGCTGAGTGTGATTCTTTAAATCTAAATTATTGTTGAGGAATGAGATTATTTTCACATATTAATGGTTTTAGCCGTTTCAGAAGTAGCTTATCAAAAATTTTTGATAAGACTAAGAACGGAGAAATTAATCTACATTTTATAGAACACCATGTTATTTGGAAATTTTCCCAGTTTTATTTATTGTTTCAAGAATAATTTATGAAAATTTCCATTTGATTGATGAGTGTTGAATTCTAATAATTGCATTAAATATCTAGGTTATTATAACGATTTTTAGGAAATTCTTTCAGTAGCTTTAATGTTATCAGATTATATTCTTTATTATTATTTATCCATTTTATCTCTTTCCCTACTTCAATAAGTAGGCAAAATTGTAGTGGTTATAGTAAATTCTACTTTTTTACTCGCTAGTGATTCACTTCATTAATAAATCGTACATTCGCTTTTCGCATTTGGATAGTTAGATATGTTTAATTTGTTTTATATATTTTGACATGTAAGAATTGAAGTGATATATATATATATTCTGCATTACAAGGTTATAAATAATAATAATAATAATAATAATAATGTTATTTTGTATTATAGCTGAGTTTAAAATGCCTAAATAAAATCACTTTAACGATTAATAAAATATTAACATCATTTTTTATGTGACTATGATTATTTTGAAGTTTTTAATTCTCACGATGAATAATAGAATATAATGCAATTAAAAAAACTTGACTTTGAGCATTCTCATTTTAGGTCCAAAAATGTAGAATCAACCATGACAAATATACATATCATAAATTACAAATATACAGATATACATACATATCTACAGATTCTAGAGCAAAGATGCTTAACTACCAGCTCGCAAGGTCTTGCCCCTACTTTCTTGATCATTAGCGCTATGCCCTTCACTGCATTGATCTCTCTACTTGCTTAGTAGGGAAATCAACAGACTGAGAAAATGGAGCTCATGCACGGAAGAAATCTGTGAAGAAATCGAGGTATAAAGAAATCGATGCAGTGGAAAGGATAGCGCTAGCGATCAAAAAAGTAGGAGCAAGGGCTCGCGGGCCGGTAGCATCTCTGTTCTAAAGGAACAAAGCCTATATATAAATATAAATATATATATATATATATATATATATATTTATATTTATATATAGGCTTTGTTCCTTTAGAACAGAGATGCTACCGGCCCGCGAGCCCTTGCTCCTACTTTTTTGATCGCTAGCGCTATCCTTTCCACTGCATCGATTTCTTTATACCTCGATTTCTTCACAGATTTCTTCCGTGCATGAGCTCCATTTTCTCAGTCTGTTGATTTCCCTACTAAGCAAGTAGAGAGATCAATGCAGTGAAGGGCATAGCGCTAATGATCAAGAAAGTAGGGGCAAGACCTTGCGAGCTGGTAGTTAAGCATCTTTGCTCTAGAATCTGTAGATATGTATGTATATCTGTATATTTGTAATTTATGATATGTATATTTGTCATGGTTGATTCTACATTTTTGGACCTAAAATGAGAATGCTCAAAGTCAAGTTTTTTTAATTGCATTATATTCTATTATTCATCGTGAGAATTAAAAACTTCAAAATAATCATAGTCACATAAAAAATGATGTTAATATTTTATTAATCGTTAAAGTGATTTTATTTAGGCATTTTAAACTCAGCTATAATACAAAATAACATTATTATTATTATTATTATTATTATTTATAACCTTGTAATGCAGAATATATATATATATCACTTCAATTCTTACATGTCAAAATATATAAAACAAATTAAACATATCTAACTATCCAAATGCGAAAAGCGAATGTACGATTTATTAATGAAGTGAATCACTAGCGAGTAAAAAAGTAGAATTTACTATAACCACTACAATTTTGCCTACTTATTGAAGTAGGGAAAGAGATAAAATGGATAAATAATAATAAAGAATATAATCTGATAACATTAAAGCTACTGAAAGAATTTCCTAAAAATCGTTATAATAACCTAGATATTTAATGCAATTATTAGAATTCAACACTCATCAATCAAATGGAAATTTTCATAAATTATTCTTGAAACAATAAATAAAACTGGGAAAATTTCCAAATAACATGGTGTTCTATAAAATGTAGATTAATTTCTCCGTTCTTAGTCTTATCAAAAATTTTTGATAAGCTACTTCTGAAACGGCTAAAACCATTAATATGTGAAAATAATCTCATTCCTCAACAATAATTTAGATTTAAAGAATCACACTCAGCAACTAAATAAGTGCATTAAACATGATGCACATACATGAAATAAAAAATTGTTTGGAAGAACAAAAGATATGCTCTGCTGTGTTTATAAACATTAATCTTTTGATCACGTATGGCTTGTTTTAATAAAATTCCATTTCCTACAAAATTTTTATTTATTGTTACAATCTAAGTTAAAGATTCAAGATGGTGTTCTAAACTCTAGCTACACAAATAAAGTCACATCTATACAAATAAAACCACAAGCCGATGATATCGCAATTCTAGCCTCGCAAGATCACAAATTAGACTAAACAATGAAATTCTAATTTATGTTAAATACTTAATTAGCTATTACTACAAGTTAAAAAAATGCAACTGGATATCAAATTAAACAAGTTTAAATGAATTATGTCTTGGGCATAACACACTTTTATACAAAGTATTTAGACGCACGAAATTCATTTATTGAGCTGTGTTAAAAAATCAAAGCTAAAAACAAAATCTGAATGGACTCAATAAATAAACTGAAAGAAAGAATTCTTAAGAATTCTTACTTCTAAAGAATTTTATATCTTGCATATACTGTTAATACTTTTGTTAAATGACACAATAAGATTGGGGATGATAATAATAATAATAATAATAAAAAAAGGGATGCTGTTTGTTAATAACATGTATGTTAATAGTAAAGCGTTTCTGGCTGACTCTCTGTGCTATAACGTAAGAATTTCTATATATCTAAATTCTGGTATTTTTATGATTAAGAACGTTGCTACTGGAAAAAGTGCTTTCATTACAATATACAAGATATCTTCAAGAAAGCTAGACTGCATTCTAGTTTATTTTAGCACTTAATAATATAAATTTTTATCGAGTGATACAATCCATTCTATAGAATTTTTGCATACGATCTTTTAAGAATGTAGACCTTCATATATATTTTTCTCACCCGCATGAGATCTCTACGAGCTGTAATTCGCAAGACCATCAGTGAACAGACATGTGATAACTTGCATCCTCTTTATGGCAGTCGACATAAAGATGCGCCTATCAAATGAAAATTCAACGTAGCAGTTTCGAATCATTAAATTGTTTATCCAATTATTAAAAATCTATCGTCTATTTATTTATATCTTTCATTAATTTTTACCGATTGTCGACTTATTATATATACTAAAGAATAATTTCCATTGACTTTATCAATAGCACGCTGCAGAAATGATATATGACTATAAAATGTAAATATATCATTGATATTTAATAAAATTTTTAATAAAAATTATGTCTACACTTTTGTGATTCATAAATAAAACGTTAATTTACGGAATTAAATATAATTTTTTTTATATGTTCTAATATTTTAGTAAGTATTTTGTAGTTATGAATTATTCTGATATTTTAGTAAGTTTTTTGCAGTTATGAAAAATACGTCAAACATATAATAATACAATATTTAATATAAAATATTTTAGTGCAGGATAAGACATTCGTTATTAGTAAATACTTCATTTGAATAACAAAATATTCGGATATTAGAATATTCGGACAATGGATGTTCGAATATGGGCAGCTGTAATAACATTAATCATATTTAATATTTCATAATGAAATATAAAGTTTCTTAGAGTGTTGAATTTAATAATAATGGAAAAAAATAAAGCAATGTACTTATTTCGAATCGAATAAATTGAAGATAGAACATATTATATATTTTACTTACAATAAAAAGAATTTTTAATTAAAATAGCAATGTATATAATATACTGATATTCGATGTTAAATTATCTTTTTAAAAATTATCTAAGTAAATAATAGAGTGTTTAAGCGAAATGAAAATAGTAAATATACGTTCTGTTGTATTTTAGTTCTAATATAGCTTTTAAATGCTAAATGTACAAGAAATATATCAGAGAGCAAAGTTTTATTATTTTTTTATATATAATATAATGTCTTATATTAGATTTTGTAAATTTGTCACGATTATCGCGTAATATCGATATTATAAATTTTTTTAATTGACATGTTAAATATCAAAGCAGAATAAAACAGATAATTTTTTGAGCAAAAAGATAATACTTGCCTGCTTGAATCCTTCTTTCCAGATTGAGAATATATGAAAATTTAGCGATCTCTTCGTCTGGTGCTCGCAATAGTTGATCTTCATTTCCTTTATGCGGCGCTAGATGAGCTAGGTATAAAAACATTGGACGACTAGTATCATGATCGTTGATTAGCCGTACAGCTTCATTTGTAAATATATCTGTAGCATATTTTCCTGCGGTGTCCCATGCTACTGTAAGATTCCGTCTCATGTCAAAGCCTTTATACTCGCTATATTGCGGGTCCTGTAAAATATTTATTATACAAAGCTGATTTATATTGTAATGTTTGTATTCTTTGTATTTTATTCGAAAATATGATGTTAATCAGAACATAATGAATGATATAAAATTTGGAAAGTCTAATTGTTATGAAATTGATTTTTAAGTATACTTACTAGTTCCTGTGTAATATGCGTGTAATAATCCTGAAGACCGTTCCAATAACCAAAATGTGATTCAAATCCACGATACGTTGGCGTGTATTCTTTTCTGAAATATCCTAGATGCCACTTTCCCACAGCATGTGTTCTATAGCCTATTTCTTTCAAGTACTGAAATAAAGATTGATTTGGATAGAAAGCAAATAAATTTTTTATTCAGTTACAATTTTAAGGCTTTATAATAGAATAGAGTATAATTAAACTAATAGATAATAATTTTTGTTCTCAACATTGCTGTTTACAGTCAAAAAGATATTTTGCACAAATAATGCTAATCAAAATAATTTTTCAGATAAATATTATTTGCTTGTAACAAGAAATATTTGTCGATTCAATTTTGTTTCATATAATACTAGTAAGATTGTTGCATCAAAAGATGGTAATAATGAGCTAACAAAAAGTCTATACATGTCTAATATATGTTCATTTATATTGAGTTTTGAATTGATAAAAACAATTGGAGAGCTATTTTAAAAGGTAAAAGAATCGTGGAGTTATTAGTATTATATCAGTACTTATCATTAATGTACTGATGTTCGAAGCTTTCATTAGAAAAAAAAATTATGTAAAACTGAATGAATATTTCATGTTAAGAAGAAAATTGAAATATTCGAATTGAAAATTCGAAATATTAGAAAATTTTTTACATTAGATTTAATTATTTAAAAAGTTTCTATTACGTTCATCCTTAATATTAACGGCAATAAGAAAGAATTTATACAAAACCATAGCATGTGAAATGCATATACTAGAAGTATGATTTTTTTATTGAATTTTATTTTTCATGAGAAATATTTATTTACTAGTAACTTCAGTAATATATACAATTTTTTAATAATTAGAAAATCAGTTAGATAAGTTAAATTTTAATAAAAAGATTGACATGTTTTTAAAAATTAAAATACATTATTTTATGTACTCGTAAAGATTTAGAGATTTGTTTAGAGTAAAATTCTATAAATCATATTATGTTGCTCATTATGCATTATTTCCTATATTTATCTCATGTTTGGAAAAAATATACTTGGATCACTTTTTCATTTAATGTACCGTAATAAATAATTATAATTTTATAAATAATTTTGAAGTTATAAATAATTTTCTTCTTTTATTAAACCTAATTTTCAATCTTTGTTTCTTAATATTTATAATACGTAATCGATTAATATACGTAATCTTCGTTAAAAAGAAAATTAAATGCAGTATGAACATTTATGTATGTACATATATAATATAACATTGTGCCATATACAATATAACATTGACAACGTGGAAAAAATCTATTCTAAAAATAGTTTTTTATTATAGTTATTTGCGATTTAAGATATTCTTATTGCAAAAAGTATTTATTCGAAATTACAATATAATTAAATACATTTTTACTAATTAATCTACAAATTTAATTAAGAAGTATAAAAATCATTGGACACTGACAATGCAAGATTGTTGGATTATATCTGCATGGTACATCAAAAAATTGAAAAATTAGTTTAAAAAATTTGGAAAATTTTTAAATTTTAAATGTGATTTTTTTTAATGTTACGGAAAATTTGTAAAAAAGAATTTATTTGTAATTTTTAAGAAATATTTTAAATAAGTATAATTAAGTATTTTGAAATTTTTCAAATTTTCGATGTTTTGTTAACAATTATTATAATGTAAATACATTATATTAAATGCATTTTATTATGAAGATAAAAGTAAAGGAAACTCACGTAACGTAATTCGTGCAGAAACCTACCTCGGGTAATAGTTTTTCGCTTAGAGGAAGCCCTCGTGGTTCGGCTGGGTAGAGAACAGAGTGTTGCATACCCAGATGAATCGGATTTTTTCCAGTCATTAAAGAGGATCTGCTTGGCGTGCACAATGCGGGAACGTAATGATTATTTAAGATAATGCCATTGTATGCAAGGGCGTCGATGTTCGGTGTAGGGATTTGATCCGATCCGTGAAAGCTTACATCGTTCCATCCCTATGCAGTGGTTTTAAATAAATATCTTTCAAACTTGCAACTTTGAAATCATCGGGGAGATGAGTATTATTATTATCTTTTATTTTTAGTATATCTTACTTTTTTATAATGTTAGAACTATCAATAGATGACTATAATTAAAATAGTAAAAATAAATACGTATACTTACATGTTTTTTATCAATAAAAATCAATGTCAATACGAAACTAATTAATTTTATGTAATTTTATGTACAACAACAAAAAATCTGAAATCCGTTATTTTATATTTTTTTACATTTATGCTTTTATTTTTAGAATATTTTTCTTTTTATATTTATTTTTTTGTATTTTCTGTAATTAAATCTTTTATTATATAGTGAATTATTAATATTAATTAATATTGTATATTTTATATTTACAAAAATTCTTAATATTAAATTATTCATTATAAAAAAACATCTTAACTATTGAATTATTAATATTAATTAATATTGTATATTTTATATTTGCAAAAATTCTTAATATTAAATTATTCATTATAAAAAACCATCTTAACTATTGTTTTTATATATACAAGCTGTGTTCAAAAAGTTTGGAGGCCTTTATTGGAAAGAGCGATAGATGATATTTTAGGATCTTGGGTTTAGAGAGGAAATTATCTAATCAATCTAATGAAACAATGGATCCACCAAATGGCATCAGCCATGCATTTTTTGTAATTGAGTTGTTGCTTATATACGAGAACAGTATTTCGTGTTTTTAGCGATTTTTAATCGTGACGGAATAAAAAGCATGCATCAAATTTTGTTGTCTCAAACTTGGAAAAAGTGCCTCGGAAACATTATAAATGATTCAGATAGCTTTTGGAAATACAGTTTTATGAATGGTTTAAAAATAAATGGATTTCGATAAAAAAATATATATATATATATATAAAATAAGTAATAAATAATAATGAGCAATTATATATATATATATATACATACGCAAAGTGTCCCATATGAAGCTGACTATTCGCTATAGAAAAAAATGCTTCAAATAAAACTTATATATATTGTTTCAAGGAAGACATCTTATGGTGGTCACAAATCTTGTCCAGATGATCATGTTTCCGAAATTTCAAGGTAATCTTTGTCTTTTTTAAATAAAACTGTATATTTTTGAGTTCACCAGGAACATGGAGCATCATCCATTGTTTATGTATTATATAATTCTTTCTCCAAGCTCAAGATCCTAAATTATAATCTATCGCGTTTTATACATAGCATCTTCAAACTTTTCAAATATACCATGTATATCTTTTACCTTATCGTTTTTATATATTCAAATATATTTATATTCAAAAGTCGAAAAATTTTAGAGAATATGAGTTTTTTTTAATAGAAACTGTTAATTAATTAAAACAGTTTTTATTGAATTTTTATTGAAAACGTGTTTTCTTTCTTTATGTGTTTTTTCAATTTAATACTTGAATATCATGCATGTGTGATTTTACTGGTACTATTATTTATTTAATATGCGCGACTTTTGTTGTCAATAATTGTTTATGGTTATAACATAATAACTTTAGTTGCTTACAGTTATTTGAATTCTCAAAATTCTCGATATATATATTAGAACTTGTATATAACTAGATTTTGGTTAATAATTTATTCTTATAATCCATTAATATGAATAAAAATGTTAAAAAAAGAAAACAAAAAAAGTATCATCCTACATGGGAGATCATAACATTATGTACTATTCATACATGACCGAAAATAAATAATGCTCATTCTTCTTTACTATCTTGAATATTTAATTAATTGATTAATGAATTAATTTTTTCTAATGAAAGAGATAACAATAAATTCTCCATAAAATGAAATATTGTTAAACAATGATAAAATGAATGAATTTAAATACAAAAACAATTTAAATACATTTTTCATTATTATAATTATACAATAAATAAAAAATAAGGATAGTTTTATTGCAATAATTCCTAAATCACAGCATTTGAACATTAATAACATATAATTTGCAAAATACTATAATGCAATGTGTTAAAACATTAGCTTTTTATTTAATAAAATATTTTACAAGCATTCTATATCAATTCTCTTATCTATCAACTTACGTATATATACTTACCATATCATCAGCAAGAATAATGATGATATGTGGCTTTTGTTTAGTTGTTGTTGATGGAAAGATCGGCAGTGATAATAAGGATGAGAAAAAAATCGCACCCACATTTATTATCATGAACTCTGAGAGAAATAATACAACAAAAACCTGTAGTATCAACGCCACATTCATCTCGAAATTAGCTGTAACAAATAAAGAATTTCAATTTTATAATTTAAATTTCATTTTAATTCTATTTTAATAAAATTAATAGTTCAATCTTTTACTTTACTTTTTACTTTTGTACTAATTTATTAAGATTTCCACACAGTTTATGGAATTGATTCTATATATAATATATGTACAATAATTATAACTTTACTAATTGTCATCTTAAAAATTAATCAACATTATAAATTCTATTAATGAAATTTTGAAATACAAATATTCATAAAGTTCTATTCTAAGATGAAACGTTTAATATATACAAGTATAATAAGTAGACAAAGAATGTTATATAAATTTAAATTTTAAATAAAGGACATAGAACATATGTTACAATAAATTCTTAATAAATATGTAAAAAATCTCAATCTAATAATAAGTATATTATATAATAAATATAATAAAAGTTCAATACTAAAGAAAATTTATAATGTAATAACAGACATAATTCAATATATATATATATATGTATATGTATACTTATATATAATTAATGATATTGAGATTATTTTTACAATATGCATAATATTTGTAACAATAACGATAATATAATAGAAACTCATAGTAATACAATAAATAATAAACAATACAATACATAATAATGTAATATATTAACTAGAACGTGATTATTTACTTAATCAATTAGGATTTCTGTTATCAGTAGTCTTATGTTTGATGATAAAATTCATATTTAAGTTTGTATCTATTATATTTTTCTCCTATCCTATAAAATCTTTTCTTTATTAATTTGTTGATTATTCACTGCATTAAATGAATATTTATTGGTTGGCTGAATATTGATTTTGATGTAGGATAATTTAATGTAAGATGGATTAACAGATGGATTTATTATTGTAACAATAATGTTACAATAAAATTTAATAATAATAATTAAAAGTTTGTGTGATAAGATATACAAAATAAATAAAATTGACAAAATAAATAAAAGATACGTATATATATTAATATTATATTAAATTTATATATACTTAAATACGTATTTATAATTACACTATAGAAAAAGATTAAAAATCTTATTTTAAATACAAGAAGTTTTTGATTGTTTTTTCTCAGATCACACATTGGTTTCTTCAGATCAGACATTAATTAATTCGAGGTCTCACTGTATTTAAAAAAATGTATTAAATAAAAGAATAAGAGCATCATATCAAATCTCTTTTTATGTCAGCAGAATATTGTTCAATCTAGGAAATCTATAAAAATTTTTGGATATTTCTTGTTACTATCATTCATATTTTGACGATTTATGTTCAAGTTCGGATAAATATACATAAATAGTAGTTAATAGATTTGTTATAATAATATGTGAGTTTTATCAAAACGTGTTATCAAATTAATGACAAATAATGATTAAAATAATCTGTAATTTTATGATTAAATTTACGTTATGTTATAGAAGCAAATTTCTAAATATTTTTAAATGGTAATATCTCCATGTGCAAATTATCGGTAATTAAAAGCCCATTACTTCAAATAAAGTTATAGTACGCTTATTCCTATTCATTAAAATTCATTTAAAAAAATAGAATTTTTAAGCAGCATTGAAATTTTCTACGTTGCTCTCGATATCAAAATTAAATGTTCAAATCCATAAAAATAATATATAGTTCAATTCATGCCGTAAATTTTAAAATGGTCAACTATTCTAAACTTATTCATGTTTATGAAGTATTCTCCATCATACAATGAAATTTATTTCTGAAGTGTTGAAATTATTCGGATTTCTATACAACAATCAATGACAATAAAAATTAGTTTGTCTTTTGGTAATTTGTTATTTTCATTTAAAAATTCGATAAGATTGATTAGAAATAATAATTAGAAATAACACGATTAAATGAAAAAGAATTAAATGAAATGAAATAACCACATAAATAAATACGGTTTTTTTTCAAAAAAAAAAAAAAAAAAAAGGAAATGGTAAAAATTTTTCTTACATTGATGGAAAATAAAAGCAACCGTCGTGTGTCCTAGTATTCGTGATAAAATGTCCATTTTTTCCGTTTACGTCCGGAGAGCATCTTCCCGTGGAATCAAAGAAATCAGTTTCGTTCAACTGATCTTCGGCAAGGCGAGAACCGACTGACTGGGAAACTCGAGACGTGTTGGTTTATTACCACTTCAGATTTTCTGTATGGCTAGCGGTAAGGAGCAAAGGGAGGATCTGGAGCATAACGAGGATGCTGTTCTGGGGGAGGAAAATAGAGAAGGTGAGCGCGAAAAATCACAGCGGTGTGGTGTACTTATGTACGCGTGAAAATTCAGCATTCTTTTTAAGTCATTAGGCTTTTCCGTTGCATGAAATTATTATAATTTTATAGTATTAGACAGATCAACATGTTTTTTTAACAAAATAAATGTTTTATAAGCACTGAAATAATAAACACAGCCCTGAGATAACTTTAGACTTTTAATATTACGAATATTTTATTCTATCAAAAAGTTTCAAATTCTTTGTTTCTAAAATTATTAAGACTACGCAAGTCTTTTCAATAAAATCAATGGTAACTTTTATTTAAATGGAAATATTTTAATTAAAAAATTCACTTAAAAACATATGCATTTTTTCCCAAATATGAAAGATATATAACGTTCATATATAGATTTTATTACTGTTAAATTTCCAAATTTATAAAAAATACCTATAATAATGTATTTTAATGTTTAAAGACATGCAAATTTTTCTATTACTATTTAATTTTATTTACAGTTTTTTCGAATTATAAATTATGTATTTTGTATTCTTTTTTTTCAATTCTAATAAATTGTTTTAAATTTAAAGAAGAATGAAGGTAATTTAAATGTAAAATATTTATATGTGAGATATTAATTTTAGTTAATTTAAAACAATATTTATCTGCTAATGTTTAATTAATCAATCTATATTATGTATATATGATTACCCATAATTTATGCCTATATTTTCCTACTTGTTGGTAAATTAAAGGAAATTAAATTGTAATGCTTTTGTTTGCTGTCATAAGAGATATTACTGTTGAAATCAGTTAGAGATTTGTTCGGTTGCTTTGAAGTCAGAATTGAATGTGTTATGTGTTCACAAAAATTATTTTGGAATATCAGAATTTACATCTTACAATTTACATCTTAATAAATTGTTAATAATGAAACTTGTAATTTTTTATAATATATGTGAAATTGAATGTAAGTGTATTATAATGATGTAATATAAACGGTTAAATAATTTTTATATATTTATCAATAATTTATAAATAAAACATTGTAAAAGTTTTTCGAAAATATTTTGAAATATTGAATGAATATAATTTTATGCTTATAGTTCACTTACAAAATTTGATCAATATTAATTAATATCTTTTTCTACAAAAATTTAATTGTTAAATTTTTTATCGTTTTGTACAAAACGAAATCATTGCGATCTGCAATATAGGTAAAAAACTAAATTTGCAATTAGAACAACTGATTTAAAAATACAACATGACATCCAAAGAAGTTGGTAATGCATGTGAAATTGTGTTATATACACGCATGTTTTGTTATTTAAATATTCTTATTTGAAAGGAAAGTAGTAAATGTGATAATCACTCAACACGATTTGAATGCACGTGAATAACAATAATTTGAATAGAAATGTGTAGAAATTAAAACATGCGTTTATTTTATTATAGTTTTATTTTTTTTTTAACAAGTTAATTAAATATTCTATTATACACATTAAGTATTTTGGTACGATTGAGTTTAAAAAAAAAAAAAAGATTAACCAATATGCATTATGATTTCCGAGAAAATCTGTATTAATAAATAATAATATATTTATTTTTTTAATAATCAAACTTTTTATCATTGTACATTTGTTTCTAAAATATAGTATATTTTATATTTATTGCAACTTTATATCTAATTCTCAATTGATATATAATTGAGCTATAAATAATTTGAATTACATAATTAATTAAATTAGACAATTTGAATTAAAATATTTAATTTTGTATTTGTTAATGTTTGTATTTGTATTTAGCGAATTACATAATTAATTAAATTAGACAATTTGAATTAAAATGTTTAATTTTGTATATTAATGTTTGTATTTGTATTTAGCTAATAATAAAATGGTCTTTAGGTGAAAAAATATTGATATTAATTATCATATTAATATGATATTAATATTATGATAAAATATTAATATTATGATCTTTGTTAGATGAAAGAATGGCATAATATTTTAAATCTTTATTTTACGATCGGTTATCGGTGATCTAGTGACACTAGTATAGAATTGAGAAGCAATAATTTTTATATTTCGGGAAATAGAAACGATGTAACTTTTAATATAGCGTTTCGATTTGATCAATAATTCCTACGGAACTATTATATCAATGAGAATAATACATACTGTCGGAACGGTAGCGCAGTTTGTCAAATATGATTTGAATAATAAGATGGAAATGTAAATAAGCTTACACGCTGCCAGTTGCAATGCATGATTAAATTTGTATGTCCAGATTATCATAAACAGATTATTGCGAAACTCAGTTTGCTAACTGTCGCTAATTTCTTCGATTTATTCTGATTGTTTCTCCGTTGTCTTGTAAACAACATTTCATTATTCTATATTTTTTCTATATCTTTGTACAGTCAAGAAAGGGTATTATATTATCGTGTGTATATCAGACTATACATGGAAGTTAATATATTAAATTAATATATTCTACATTTAATAATTATAATAATATAATAATAATATTAATTTTCATTAATATATATCTATATTAATATATTAATATTATGGAAAATTAAATTAATTATTTATTAATTTTCTGTAATTTTAGCAGATATTTCAATCAATCTTACAATTAGCATGTAAAAGTAACTAAAGTTCTTACATTAATTTTTGATTTATATGATGTGTCTGATAAATTATCTGTAATGTTGTGAATTAAAATTCGATAACGTGTTATTTAATAATTTTGTGGATCAC